GGGGGGGAGGGGCACTACAGACAACACACTACCCTGGGGTTATACGGGGTATGTGGGGGGGAAGGGCAGCACGGGCAACACCCCACCTGGGCCGATCACCACGGCTGCCCCCTACAGGCTCCGGCAGCCTCAGCAGGGATCAGGTGGTTTGGGGTCAAAGGACGAATACCGCCCACTCCTAATGACAGCGCGCCCGGCCCGCCCTCATGAACCCCATTGGCCAGCACGCCACGGCTGGAGCCAACCGCATTGCCTCAGGGTCACGAGCGAACGTGGGACGTGTCATAGGTCAGTCACGTGACTCATTCGGGTGCCGGTTCAGACTCTGCAGCTGACCCAAGATGGAGGAGTACGCGCGCGAGCCTTGGTGAGCGGCCCTTGGCGGGCTCCATGCCTGCCGCGCGGGCGGCCGCTGCCCCGCGCCTCTGATCTGGGGCTTGTGCCGGTTCGGGGGGCGCTGGGCAGCGCGATGCCGGGCCCGTGGGGCGCTCCCCCAGCCGGGGGCTACGTTCGCCGGCCCGTGCCCGGGGCCCGCGCCGTCCGGGACTGGGCCTGCCGAGCAGCCCCCGCGCCGAGTGAGGAGGGGGCGCAGGGAAGGCGTGTGGCAGTGCTCGGAGAGCAGAGCGGGTGGTAGCCAGCTGTGCCCGCGCGGGACGGGCTGGGGTTCCTCGTGCCCACAGGCCGGGAGGGCAGGCTGGAGAATAAGTGGGGAAATGTTACAACTATGATGCCCTTATAAAAATTAATGGGGCTAATTACACAGCATGATTCCCGTGACTCAGGTCCGGAGACAGCTGTGGGGTGCTTCGGGGTGATCCACATGACGTTCTGAGAAGCAAGCTGGAGAAATGGTGGTTCACTAGAACCACCGTTAAGCGGATACATAGTTGGTTAAGCAATTGCCAACGAAGTGTCACTATTAATAGAATGATGTCGGATTGGAACGGGGGTCTCAAGTGAGATTCAGTGGGGATCTGTTTTGGGTTTGGTGGTGGTAACATTTTTATAATGATTTGGCAGTAGGAATCCAGAGCATACTGATCAGGTTTGCAGATGAGACAAAGGTTGCTAATACTTTGGAGGACAGAGCTAAAATTCAGAAGTATTGATAAATTGGAGAGCTGGGCTATAGACCAGTGGTTCTCAGCCTTTCCAGACTACTGTACTCCTTTCAGGAGTCTGATTTGTCTTGCATACTGCCAAGTTTCACCTCACTTAAAAAATACTTGCTTACAAAATCAAACAAAAAAATACAGAAGTGTGGCACCTTAGAGACTAACAAATCACTGTGACAAGTACTCCTGTTCTTTTTGCGGATACAGACTAACACGGCTGCTACTTTGAAACAGTGATGCTGGGCGCTTTTACTGAAAAATTGTTTACTTTCTCATTTTTACCATATCATTAGAAAATAAATCGATTGGAATATAAGTATTGTACTTACATTTCAGTGTGATGCTTGAGCTTGTTTTTTCACTTGTAAGCCTTGTTTGACGTCCGAGTCCCACCACATGGGGCTGAAGCACATGTGGCCCACTGTAGCATGGGGCCCTGAGCAATTGCCCTGCTTGCTGCCCCCTACTGCTGGCCCTGCACTTGCAACCTGTCCTGTGATTCCCCTGGGGGCTGCAGCCCCTATATTGAGAAACAGTGATGTAGATGAGTTGAGAACCCTCTGCAAGACCTCTGAGTACCCCCAGGGGTACACATACCCCTGGTTGAGAACCACTGCTATAGCCAACCAAATGAAATTTTACAAAAACAAATGTAAGGTGCTACACTTAAGGAAGAAAAACCAAATGCACAAATACTGGAAAACTGTCTTGGCAGCAGCACTGATCACTACCTCAATGGGAGTCAGCAATGGGATGCTGTTGCAAAAAAAAGCAAGTGCTATTTTAGATTGCTTTAACAGAGGCATAGCATGCAAATCACAGGAGATGATAGTACTGCTCTACTTGGTGCTGGTTAGGCTTCAGCTGGAGGACTGTGTCCAATTTTGCTCACAAATGAATAGAAAGGATGTAGAAAAACTGGATATGTGCATTCGGTGCAAGGAGTTCTTGGCCCTCAGAGACCGTGTACGGGCTTTGGAGACCAAAGTGGCTGAGCTGGAGGAGCTAAGGGAGACAGAGAGGTACATAGATAAGACTTTCCAGAACACTGTGGAACGGTCCCACCCCTGGTCTGACAGCCTCTGTGCTGTTGAGGAGGATGACAGTCTCAGGGAAGGAGAACATCCAACTGGAGGAGAGGGAAATGATCCTGTAGTTGGGGCTCTCCTTCCAGATGATGTCATGGTATCCTCTTGCACTGAGGATACCTCTCCGGGGGAGGGAACTCCAGTTATTAGGAAGAGATGGGTAATAGTTAGGGGGATTCGATCATTAGAAACATAGATAGGTGGGTTTGTGATGACTGGGAGAACCGCATGGTGACTTGCCTGCCTGGTGTGAAGATTGCGGACCTCTTGAGACATCTAGATAGACTTGTGTGTAGTGCTGGGGAGGAGCCGGTGGTCATACATGTAGGTACTAATGACATAGGGAAGGAGAGGAGAGAAGTCCTGGAGATTGAAGTCCAGGACCTCCATGGTAGCATTCTCTGAAATGCTTCCAGTTCCAGGCGCAAGGCCAGGTAGACAGCAGAACTACAGGGTCTCAATGATGAGATGATGGTGTAGGGAGGAGGAGTTTAGATTTATTAGGAACTGGGGCATCTTTTTGGAAAGGGGGAGCCTATACAGGAAGGATGGGCTCCACCTAAACCAAAATGGAACCAGATTGCTTGCTCTTAAAATTTAAAAGGTCATAGAGCAGTTTTTAAATTAAGGGCTGGGGGAAAGCCCAGAGGAGCACGTGGTTCGTACAAAGACATCCCTTTGGGGCGAAGCTATTAATGGAGATTTTCTATGTCCTAGTAATGAGAGGATGGAATGTGATAAAATGCAGGTAGGATCTGATGAGAAACAGTTAAATGAAAGAGTCCCATTCAATTACATCATGTAATGGCAGACAGCTGAAAAGTGACAATTTTTTTAAGTGCTTGTAGACAAATGCTAGAAGTCTAAATAATACGAGGCACTCTAGTTCACCCATCTTATGAAGTGAGGATATTGACATAATAGGCATTGCAGAAACTTGCTGGAATGAGGATAATCAATGGGACACAGTAATACCAGGGTACAAAATATATTGGAAGGGCAGAACAGGTTGTGCTGGTGGGGGAGTAACACTATATGTGAACAAAAGCGTGGAATCAAATGAAGTAAAAATCTTAAATGAACCAAACTGTACCATAGAATCTCTATGGATAGCAATTCCATGCTTGAATAATAAGAATATAGCAGTAGGGATATACTACTGACCGCCTGATCAGGATGGTGATAGTGACTGTGAAATGCTCAGGGAGATTAGAGAGGCTAGAACAATTAAAAAAAACTCAATAATAATAATGGGGGATTTCAACTATCCCCAAATTGACTGGGTACATGTCACCTCAGGATGGGATGCAGAGAAAGTTTCTTGACACCTTAAATGACTGCTTCTTGGAGCAGCTAGTCTTGGAACCCACAAGAGGAGAGGTAATTCTTGATTTAGTCCTGAGTGGAGCACAGGATCTGGTGCAAAATGTGAATACAGCTGGACCGCTTGGTAATAGTGACCATAATATAATTAAATTTAACATCCCTGTGGTGGGAAAACACCACAGCAGCCCAACACTAGCATTCAATTTCAGAAAGGGGGACTATACAAAAATGAGGAAGTTAGTTAAACAGAAATTAAAAGGTACAGCACCAAAAGGGAAATTTCTGCAAGCTGCATGGAAACGTTTTAAAGACCTCATAATAGACGCTCCACTTAAATGCATATCCCAAATTAAAAAACATAGTAAGAGAACCAAAAAAGTGCCACCGGGGCTAAACAGCAAAGTAAAAGAAGCAGTGAGAGGCAAAAAGGCATTCTTTTAAAAAGTGGAAGCTAAATCCTAGTGAGGAAAATAGAAAGGAGCATAGCCTGTCAAGTGAAGTGTAAAAATATAATTAGGAAGGCCAAAAAATTTAAGTACAGGAAGCCTGCTAAACAACTGGTGGGGCCACTGGAGGATCAAGATGCTAAAGGAGCACTCAAGAACAATAAGGCTATTGCAGAGAAACTAAATGAATTCTTTGCATCGGTCTTCATGGCTGAGGATGTAAGGGAGATTTCTAAACCTGAGCACTTCTTGTTAGGTGACAAATCTGAAGAACTGCCCAAATTGAGGTGTCATTAGAGGAGGTATTGGAACAAATTGATTAACAATAAGAACTCACCAGGACCAGATGGTATTCATCCAAGAGTTCTGAAGGAACTCAAATGTTAAATTGCAGAACTAGTAACTGAGTTGTAACCTATTATTTAACTCCGCTTCTGTACCAGAGGACTGGAGGATAGCTAATGTGATGCCAATTTTTAAAAAGGGCTCCAGAGGTGATCCTGTCAATTAAAGCCAGTAAGCCTGACTTCAGTACCGGGCAAACTGGTTGAAACTATGGTAAAGAACAGAATTGTCAGACACATAAATGAACATAATTTGTTGGGGAAGAGTCAACATGGTTTCTGTAAAGGGAAATCATGCCTCACCAATCTACTAGAATTCTTTGAGGGGGGTCAACAAGCATGTGGACAAGGGGGATCCAGTGGATATAGTCAGGGCCCTACCAAATTAATGGCCATGAAAAACACGTCATGGACCGTGAAATCTAGTCTTTTGTGTGCTTTTACCCTATACTATACAGATTTCACGGGAAACCAGCGTTTCTCAAATTGAGAGTCCTGACCCAAAAGGGAGTTGCAGGTGGATCATAGTATTTCCACCCTTACTTCTGCGCTGCCTTCAGAGCTGGGTGGGCAGAAAGTGGCGGCTGTTGGCCAGGCGTCCAGCTCGGAAGGTGGCGCCCCGCCATCAGTAGTGCAGATGTAAGGGTGGCAATACCATACCATGCCATCCTTACTTCTGCGCTGCTCCTGGCAGCAGCTCTGCCTTCAAAGCTGGGCTCCCAGCCAGCAGCCGCCACTCTCCAACTACCCAGCTCTCAAGGCAGTGCCGCCGCCAGCAACAATGCAGAAGTAAGGGTAGCAGTACCTACAAGAACCTTGTGACCACCCGACAACTCCTCTTTGGGTCAGGACCCCTACAATTGAACACCATGAAATTTCAGATGTAAAGAGCTGAAATAATGAAATTCACTATTTTTAAAGTCCCATGACCGTGAAATTGGTAGGGGCCTAGATATAATGTACTTAGATTTTCAGAAAGCCTTTGACAAAGGTCCCACACCAAAGGCTCTTAAGCAAAGTAAGCTGTCATGGGATAAGAGGGAAGGTCCTATCATGGATTGGTAACTGGTTAAAAGATAGGAAACAAAGGGTAGGAAGAAATGGTCAGTTCTCAGAGTGGAAAGAGGTAAATAGTGGTGTCCCACAGTGGGCTGTACTGGGACCAGTACTATTCAGCATACTCATAAATGACCTGGAAAAAGGGGTAAACAGTGAGGTGACAAAATTTGCAGATGATACAAAATTACTCAAGATAGTTAAGTCCAAAGCAGACTGGGAAGAGCTGCAAAGGGATCTCACAGAATTGGGTGGCTGGACAACAAAATGACAGATGAAATTCAATGTTGATAAATGCAAAGAAATGCACATTGGAAACATAACCCCAATTATACATGCAAAATGATGGGGTCTAAATTAGCTTTTGCCACTCAAGAAAGAGACCTTGGAATCATTGTGGATAGTTCTCTGAAAACATCCACTCAATGTGCAGCAGCAGTCAAAAAAGTGAACAGAATGTTGGGAATCATTAAGAAAGGGATAGATAATAAGACTGAAAATATTATATTGCCTCTATATAAATCCATGGTATGCCCACATCTTGAATACTGCGTGAAGATGTGGTCGCCCCATCTAAAAAAAGATATATTGGAATTGGAAAATATTCAAAAAAGGGCAACAAAAATGATTAGGGGTATGGAACAGCTTCTGTACGAGGAGAGATTAAAAAGACTGGGACTGTTCAGCTTGGAAAAGAGACAACTATGGGGGGGAATATGATAGAGGTCTATTAAAATCATGACTGGTATGGAGAAAGTAAATAAGGAAGTGTTATTTACCCCTTCATATAACACAAGAACAAGGGGTGACCTGATGAAATTAATAGGCAGCAGATTTAAAACAAACAAAAGGAAGTATTTATTTACACAACGCACATTCAACCTGTGGAACTCCTTGCCAGAGAATGTTGTGAAGGTCAAGACTATAACAGGGTTTAAAAAAGAACTAGATAAATTCATGGAGGATAGATCCATCAATGGCTATCAGCCAGGATGGGCAGGGATGGTGTCCCTCCCTAGCCTCTGTTTGCCAGAAGCTGAGAATGGGCGGCAGGGGACGGATCATGTGGTGGTTGCCTGTTCTGTTCATTCCCTCTGGGGCGCCTGGCGTTGGCACCGTCAGAAGATGGGATGCTGGGCTGGATGGACCTTTGTATGGCCATTCTTATCGTTATGAAAGGATCCAGAGGCGAGCGACAAAGATTAGCGAGTGACAAAGGGATGGAATGCAAGGGACCCTCCTTAATTAAATTGGCTCGTTAGCACTGCCCCCCCCCCACTTGGTAAGGCAACTCCCATCTTTTCCATGTGCTGTGTATTTATACCTGCCTACTGTATTTTCCACTCCATGCATCTGAAGAAGTGGGTTTTAGCCCACGAAAGCTTATGCCCAAATAAATTTGTTAACCTCTAAGGTGCCACAAGGACTCCTTATTGTTTTTGCTGATACCGACTAACACGGCTACCACTCTGAAACCTGTGTGGTATCAGTCACTCTGTCTCTTAAAGGATATTGTGGAGGTGTAGAGGAGGTTTAGAGAAGGACAGCGAGAATGACTAGGAGCCTTGAAAAACTCATAAGTGAGATTGAAAAGATTGTTCTTGTTGTTTTTTTTTAATTTTAGAAAGGATATGATGGAAATATATAAAATAATGGTCTACAGACAGTAGATTTGGGAGCTTCTGTTTTCTCTGGCTCATAACAGAAGAACAAAGTGACATTCAATGAAACTGAAAGGTGGCAAATTTAAACTGGATCTCACTGCTATAGGAAGTCATTGAATCTAAAAAATCAGAAGTATTCAAAGAGAGGGATTCGATGTGTATATGGATTATGAGACTATATAGAATTGTTATAATTAATAGCTTTGAAGGGTTAGTAAATCTCATCTTGTAGGTCTTAAGTCATTCTCTAACTGTTAGAGATCAGGATGAGACATAATATGGGAGCAGATTCTCACATTTTCCTGATGCAGGGTTCTTACACCTTCCTCTGAAGTTTCTGGTGCTGGCTACTGCTAGAGACAGGATACTGGACTAGATAGATCTTGAGCCTGGTAATTCCTAAATGTCTATTGTAGTGTTCTTCAAGGAAGCATGGTGCATAAGAGAAGAATTTAAATCAGTTTAACCAGGGGAGGATGGGAGAGTTCCGTTATAAGGGAGCAAAGGGGAGGGGAAATTTGGCTAGGTGCATGATTGGAGAAAGAGGTTAAATCTTCCTTTGAATTAGAAGATGTTCACCATCATAGGGAGGCAGGTTGTCAAGCTATAGATAAATCATTCGTTTGTTTTGGTATGATTTCTTGGCCACTAAGTACAGTAGAACCCCATTTATCTAAGCCTCCATTTTCCGGCTCTCCGTATTAACGGAACCAGGCAGCGGGGCTCAGACTGTCAGCCCCGGGCAGGGTGGGTGGCCCAACTCTCTTGCTGCACAAGAACTAGGGGGTTGTATTTTCAGTTAAGTAGATAAGAAGGGGAGGTAAGTTTTAGTGCTTTTCCAAGAGGGGTCAGCTAGTTTAAAAGTAACTCTGCATCTTTAAATAACAGATAGAAAGCTCTTTGACCATTCTCCTGATTATGTGAATTTTTCATTATTCAATCTGGCCCCGGTCCCAATTAGATTGGATAAATGGGGGTCTGCTGTATGTAAATGTGTTGTTGGTCTTGCTGGGAGGTCAGTAAACTAGATGGGACAGATATTGCAGCTGGCAGTATTGTTTCACTCTCATTTTCAAATAACATGGCATTAACTTTGTATGTGAATTGCCAGAAAATCTTAGAGCTTTGTAAGTATTTTGGGAGAGCATGGGTACATAAAGTTAATGTATAATTGAGAAATTATGGTAGTTTTCATGTTCTTTAGCATGGATTTCAGCACTTTAATTTTTTTCTCTCCCCCCCTCCCCCCCCCCCCCCCTTAGCCCCTGGCGGATAGTGGATGACTGTGGTGGTGCCTTCACAATGGGAGCCATAGGTGGTGGAATCTTCCAGGCTATCAAAGGGTTCAGAAATTCCCCAGTGGTGAGTAAAATAATTTCTTGTAGATAAACTAACAGTAGCTTTGCTTCCCTTTCCTTCCAACAGTAAACGTGTGGGAGTGACCTAAGGGGAGGAAATAGCTCAGTGGTTTGAGCATTGGCCTGCTAAACCCAGGATTTGCGAGTTCAATGCTTGAGGGGGCCATTTGGGGATTTATTTGGTGGATTGGTCCTGCTTTGAGCAGGGGGTGGGACTAGATGACCTCCTGAGGTCCCTTCCAACCCTGATATTCTATGATTCTATGAAGTACTTGTCCCCAGTCATCGTATTGAGAGGCAGGGCAGAACAGGTTGCAGGCCAGGAGAATAAACCTGGTCAATCACCCACGATCCACATGGATTCGAGGTCCATCTGTTTAGAAGTCTTGTGCCTCTACACCAGGTCACTGCCTTCTGTATGTTCCCTGTAGCTTATACAGCTGGTGGCAGCCCCAGGGAAACCTCTTTAAGAGACCTCTTCCTACAGGAGTGCCTAGAAAATCACTGGGATTCACAAAGCCTGGGTTAGGTGCATATGCTTTCTATACAATGAGTGGAGAGAGATAAGCACCTAAGAACGGGATTCACGAAAGCCCGTCCGCTAGGCCAGTGTTTCCCAAACAGTGGGTCCTGACCCACCAGTGCATCGTGGGAAGGTTCTAGATGGGTTGCCATGTCCAGGGCTGGATTAAGTTGTCACTGGGCCTTGGCCTAGGCAGACATACACTTCTCCTGGCCTGCGTTTGTGTGTGAGAAGAACAAGCCCACCCTGCACTCACCTTGCAGCAGTGGCTCCTGTCCCTTCCCAGGCATTGTGACCTGGTGCCTGGGGTCACAGTGCCACTTAGATTTGGTCCAGCTGCCCCTCCTTCATCAGCCAAACTAAGTGGCGCTCTGTCACCCAGCACCAGGTCGCAATGCCGAGAGCAGGGAGCGGGACTGAACCCAGTGGAACAGGAGCTGTCGCTGTGGGGTGAGTGCAGGGCAGGCTTGCTCTCCTGGCCCAAAGCCGCCACCTCCACACTTGGCCAGGATTAGGATCAGTGGCGTAGCCAGGTTCTAAGAGCAGGGGGAGCGAACACATTAAAAAAAGGTGCCACCCCCTGCAAAGCAGCAAAGGAAAAAAAAAAAGAAAACCCCAAGTCTTGCCGCCGAAGACTGAAGAACCCACCATGCTGAATTACCCGCCGCCGAAGACCCAGAGTGACTGAAGCACCCGCTGCCAAATTGTCGCTGAAGACCCAGAGTTGGATTAGTCCTCAGCCAAGCGCAGCCGGAGCCGCAAGGTAGCAGGTGCCCCCCAGTGCCAGGGTGGAGGATGCGTATATGTAATAGTGGTTTGCAAAAAAAAAAAAAAGACAATACACAAGGTTTGGGAACACTGGGTTAGGGGACACACTTAAGAGGTGGCAGATCTCCGTTTAAACCCCTTCTCCTCATCGAGTGGTGGGGGGACTGCTGGTGCACATTGAGTGGATGTTTTCTGAGAATCATCATTTTGTATGTATAGTTGGGATTATGTTTTCCAATGTGCATTACTTTGCATTTATCAACACTGAATTTCATCTGCCATTTTGTTGCCCAGTCACTCAGTAGCTCTTCTCAGTCTGCTTTGGACTTAACTATCTTGAGTAATTTTGTATCATCTGCAAATTTTGCCACCTCACTGTTTGCCCCATTTTCCAGATCATTTATGAATATGTTGAACAGCAATGGTGCCAGTACAGATCCCTCGAGGACACCACTATTTACCTCTCTCCATTCTGGAAAGGTTATTGATCTTAAAAGTTGAATTCCTCTCTGTTCTGTGTGGATGCGAAAGTGACACTTTTTTTTAAAAAGATCTAGAGGTTTAAGAGTTTAACAGTTTTTCATTTGCTACACTTTTTGAGTTCTATTAAATTTGGGGATAAAACTGTATTTTCATGTTTTAAAAAATATTTTTCTCTTCACTGTTGCTGTGTGAAAGACCCACAGAAATGAGGAAAACTGATTATACAGGAGAAACAAAAATTCTGTAGGAGAAATAGTAAAACTGACTATAGAAAAATTGCTGTAAAAGTGTACAAAGTAAAACTGAAAAATGAAATATTTTCACTAATCTCTTTCTAGTATAGCAATCTTGGGAGTTACTTGTAACAGTAGTAGATGATATATTTTTAGACAGAAGTGTAATAACAGTTTCCCTTTAACATTTCCATGGCAGTCTCCCCTAAAAGTAGGTTTCCCTAGCGCATGTGGATGAAATTTCCTCTGTTCACTTGTGTGCATTCTGTTGTGCAGCAATTATCTGTTGACATGCTTCCACTCTGAATTTCATTGGTTTTCTGCGTATATACTTTGTGAAGCAATTTGGGATCATTCAGGAGAAAAGGAACTACAGTAGAACCTCAGAGTTACGAACACCTCGGGAATGGAGGTTGTTCGTAACTCTGAAGTGGTTGCAACTCTGAACAAAACATTATGGTTGTTCTTTCAAAAGTTTACTACTGAACATTGACTTAATACAGCTTTGAAACTTTACTATTCAGAAGAAAAATACTGCTTTATTTTTTTTAGTAGTTTACATTTAATGCTGTATTTGCCTTGTCTCTGCTGCTGCCTGATTGTGTACTTCCAATTCCAAATGAGGGGTGTGGTTAAATGATCAGTTCGTAACTCTGGTGTTTGTAACTCTGAGGTTCTACTGTATATAAATGTAAAATACTATCATGTAATGTTTATTTTTTATGTGGTAAAAACATTACTTAGTGTCTTGGTTTTTAAAAAAAAAAAAAAAAAAAAAAGTAAAGGAAAAAGTAAGTGGTCCAGCAATTAGACTTTACATCATCACAGAAAATTATATATAACTATTTGTGTAGTTTACAGGTGTTATAGTTACATACTAAATATTAACTGAAAATAAAAATGTCAGAAAGCATTGATAACTATATGAATTAAAAACAATTCCACTTCATCAGTTTATGTATAATACAGTATGAAATGGCTCTGTTTTTTATAAATTCCTGACAAAAACAGATTTATAATGAAAGAACTTCCAGATGCTTAGTAATAACTATAACTGCGTCTGAAAGGGTGCAATTTAATTAGCTGTAAAAATTAAATATGTTTAGTTTTGTTTCATTCTGATTGTCATCTTTGGTTTATTTTAGGGTGTAAACCACCGGCTGCGGGGAAGTTTGACAGCTATTAAAACCAGAGCACCACAATTAGGAGGTAATTGCAGTCTGTACACTTAAGCCTGTATTCTTAAGCCTTTTTCCAATTTTAAAAGAGAACTTCAAGGGAACTGAATAGCTATGGGGATTTGGATGAGATTCAGAACCTCTAAGGACTAGATCCACAAAAGCACCTAACTGCCACTTGAGGCACTTAAGTCAAAATTTAGACCCTCAATAATCCCACTCAGTTGCCATCTAACCCTTCAGGTGCCTACATTTCTGCTGGTAGTGTGCACATCTACCTGACACCTAGTTTACACCTAAGCCCCAGTGAAATTTCCAAACTAAGTGTTTGCCCACCTATCTTGCCTGTGGGGCCCGATCCAGTAGGAGTGCTCAAAGGTCACCTTAGAGCATGCCTAGTGGATTGGGCCAGAGAGAAAGTGAGAGTGACTTTAGAGCCCAGTGATTAGGGAACTCCTCTGGGATATCAAGAGTGAGGTTGAAGTCCCTATTCCAATGAATATTTAATTATTTTATACAAAGTTGACCAGCTTTAACAGGAACCAGAGAGAGAAACCTATCCCAGGATACCCCACAGCCCAGTGATTAGGGCACTCACTTGGGAAGTGAGAGACTGAACTTCAAGACCCTGCTCCTCTCTGGGAATTGTATGCACTGACCACAGAACTATAGGGAATGAGGCGATAGCTGCTGCCACCTCTTTTGCCTCCTTCTGCTTTTTGCTAAAAAGGACTGACCTAGCTTTGGTGCCTAACTCTAGGAGAGGGTTCATGGCTGTGAATCTCTCCCTCTGGCTTGGAGTTAGGTGCCTAAGTCCCTTTAAAGGGTGGGGCTTATGCCACACCCTTCCTTGCCATTCATTAATGACTTGGAAATGGAGTGGAGAGGATGCTTATAAAATTTGTGTATGACACCAAGCTAGGAGAAGTTGCTAGCACTTTGGAGAACATGATTAGAGTTCAAAATTACCTTGACAAACTGGAGAACTCATCTGAAATCAACAAGGTGAAATTCAATAAAAACAGGTACAAAGTACCACACTACAAAATTGGAAATAACTGACTAGGTGGTCATACTGCTGAAAAGCATCTGGGGGTTATAGTCTGTCATAAATTGAATATGAGTCAACAGTGAGATGCAGTTGTGAAGTTAGCATTCTGGTGTGTTGTTAACAGGAGTGTTGTATGTAAGACACAGCAGGTAATTGTCCTGCTCTATTTAGCACTGGTGAGGCGTCAGCTGGAATACTGTGTGCCGGTTCTGGCCGCCACACTTTACAAAAGATATGGATAAGTTGGAGAGAGTCCAGAAGAAAGCAACAAACATGATAAAAGATTAGAAAACTGGACCTGTGAGGAAAGGTTTAAAAAAAATTGGGTATCTTTAGTCTTGAGAAAAGAAGACCGAGGAGGAACCTGGTAAGTCTTCACATATGTTAAGGGCTGTTATAAAGAAGACAGTGATCACTTCTCCATGGCCTCTGGAGGTAGGAAGAAGTAATGACCTTAATCTGCCGCAAGGGAGAATTAGGTTAAATATTAGGAAAAACTTTCTAACTACAAGGCTAGCTAAGCACTGTACCAGGCTTCCAAGTGAAGTGTTGAAGAACAGATTAGGCAAACCCCTGTCAGGGATGATCTAAGTGTACTTGGTCCTGCCTCAGTTTGGGAGGCTGGACTAGATGACCTCTCAAGGTCCCTTCTAGCTTTACATTTCTCTGATTTCCTATGGGCTAGTTTAGGCAGTTCCCCACTCAGTTTGTTGGCTTTTGTAAATCCACTTTTTAGGTGCCCAGACTCCCTATACAATGCATGTGGAGAGTTAGGCACCTAAATTGGGGCTATGGATTCCACTAAGTGTCAGGGCACCTAAAGTTAGGCACTGCAATGCTGAGCCTGAGTCCCCTTTTTGGATCTACCCCTAACTGGTTATCTGACCTACAGTACGTTATTTTTGTAAAAGGAGTCAGAGGTCTCAGTGGACAGCTATCCAAAATCACAACATTATTATCCATAATTGGTCTCTTGGTGGCTGTTTCAAGGATTTAGTCAAAATGAAGCTTTAACAACCCTATCACCCTTAAAGGTGATTTGGTAATAAGGTATACATGAAGTTATATTCCTTGTCTCGCTGTTGTTATTCTAACAGCAAGTTGTATGTTCTGGGTAATTTTACTTCAAGAAGGAAAAAGGAAGGAATATTGACTAGATCTTGCAAGAGGGAAAAATTGAAGGAAGAAAATGCATTGATGGCAGCAGACTCCTTGAAGAGCACAGAAATTGGTATTGCATTCTAGAGAAGCTATTGTTGCTGTTCATCGTGCCCTTCTTAAAATAGAGGACTTAAGTCTCCTGTTTTTATTTTCTTGCGTTAAGCTTTTAAGCATGAAAGCACTTTGAAATAAAGAGGCTTGCAAGAAAATGTACTCGGTGAGAAGTGCATCTTACTATCTCTGAACTAAATTTTTTTGTTTGTTTGTTTTTTAATTTGCCTTTCTAGAAATCTTGCCAGTTGCATTCTGCTGGCAGCTGCCATACAGACTAATATTAATCATGTTTTGGAGATGACAAAAGCAGTATTGAAATAAGATACTAAACTGTCATACAGCATTCGTTTGTGATTTATGATTTTTATGTATTAGCAGGACTGTTGTAAGCAAGACATGAGAAATAGTTCTTCTGCTGTATTCTGCACTTATTAGGCCTCAACTGGAGTATTGTGTCCAGTTCTGAGTGCCACATTTCAGGAACGATGTGGACCAATTGGAGAAAGTCCAGCGAACAGCAACAAAAATGATTAAAGGTCTAGAAAATATGACCTATGAGGGAAGATTGGAAAAAATTGGATTTGTTTAGTCTGGAGAAGAGAAGACTGTGGTGGGGGGGGCCATGATAAGTTTTCAGGTACATAAAAGGTTGTTACAAGGAGGAGGGTGAAAAATTGTTCTCTTTAACCTCTGAGGATAGGACAAGAAGCAGCAAGGGTGGTTTAAGTTGGACATTAGGAAAAACTTCCTAACGGTCAGCACTGGAATAAATTGTCTATGAAGGTTGTGGAATCTCTGTCATTGGAGATTTTTAAGAGCAGGTTAGACTAATACCTGTCAGGGATGGTCTAGATCAGTGGTCTCCAACCTTTTTACCCTCAAGATCACTTTTTGAATCTAAAGGCAACCCAGGATCTACCCTGCCCTTCCCCGAGGCCCAGCCCCTTCCCCAAAGACCTGCCCACTCCATCTCCTCCCCCCCCCCCCGTTACTCGCTCTCCCTCACCCTCACTCACTTTCAGGGGGTTGGGGTTCAGGAAGGGGTGCGGGCTCTGGGCTGGGGCTGAGGGGTTTGCAGTGCGGGAGGGAGCTCTGGGCTGAGCCTGGGGTAGGGGATTGGGGTACAGGAGGGGGTAAGGGGTGCAAGCTCTAGGAGGGAGTTTGGGTGCAGGAGTGTTGGGATACAGGAGGGGCTGCAAGGTGTGGGACCTGGGAGGGAGTTTGGGGGCAGGAAGGGGCAGAGTGTAGGAGGGGGTATGGAGTACTGTCTCTGGGAAGGGGCTCAGGGATGGGATTTTGGGTCCGGCCTCCCGCCGGGCAGCACTTACCTCTGGTGGCTCCCAGTTGGCAGCGGGCACAGCCAGGCTAAGGCAGGCTCCGGGCCTACCCTGGCCCCACACTGCTCCCGGAAGGGGCCAATGTGCCCCTGTGGCCCCTGGGGTGGGAGGGGCACATGCCTCTGTGCACTGCCCCTCTCTGCAAGCACCGCCCCCACAGCTCTCCCAGCCAATGGGAGCTGCGGGGGCGGTGCTTGCAGGCAGGCGCAGCGCATGGCAGAAGACATCTGTCCCCCCTGGGGCTGCACTGGTCTCTTCTGGGAGCAGCGTGTGGCTGGGGTAGGCAGGGAGTCTGCCTTAACGGCAACCACACTGTGCAACCAGAGATCGCGATTGACTGGGAGATCCTCTAGGATCGACTGGTTGGTGACCACTGGTCTAGATAATACTTACCCTTGCCTTGAGTGCAGGGGATTGGACTAGAAGACCTCTTGAGATCCCTTCCAGTCCTACACTTCTATGATTCTATGATGGTTCCATTGGCAGAAGGAAAAAAAACCTTTAACCTGTTAAATACTAAAGATCCTCTGATCATTAAGCCAGCATTAGTAGGATGGAAACTCCTTTACAATCACTGATATTTGGGAGGCATTTTGTTGTCTAACACAAAACAGTAAATATTATTACCCACTTTATTGAGTGAGTAAGGATATTTCCTGAATTTGTTTATGTAATGTTTTAATCTAGTTTTTGTGAGTTTGGGTATATTTTAAGGCTCAAAAGTAAATTTCCTAAAATATTCCAACACAAAACTTTATAATGTGGCTGGAGTATAGCTTTGGTTACTGTGCTTTAAAAAATTTTTTTCCCCCCAAACAGGTAGCTTTGCAGTCTGGGGTGGTCTCTTTTCCATGATTGACTGTAGTATGGTGAAAATGAGGGGTAAAGAAGATCCATGGAATTCAATCACAAGTGGTGCCTTAACTGGAGCCATATTAGCCTCAAGAAGTAAGGAACTGCAATCTGGGGACAATGGGTATTGAAAAGCCTTTATATTTGAAACTATAAATACCAAATTTTTGTGTCCGTCAGACATTTTAGTGATAATCAGATAATTAGAAAGAACTTCATTTATCTTTTATGGAACTTTGGAATCCCGTATACCTAAAAAGCAATATTAACCCTTTTTGTTTTCTATTTTTAAGAATATAGTATGTTGTAATTGTCTTGACTGTTTTATCAATAGTGGCATAATACATTCAAAATGGTTATTTAAAGATCTTTTAACATGGTGGATTAGAGTTTACTTTTAAAGTTGCAATACACCATTTAGGCCCAATTCAGGAAGTATTCTCAATAGTCCATGGGACCTAAACATGTTCTTAATGCTCTCCTGAATTGTTCCATTTGTGAAAATTGGAAGTAGAGCAGTTCGACCTTCTCAACAATGTTTTGTTGAGTGTATTAATGTTGACAACACTGTGTAGTTGAAAGGGTTTTTTGTGGGTCTTAATGGACATTGAAGATCTAATTTTGTGGATGACAAATTAAGCATGGATAGTATTATTTTACATATAGTAAGTACATTTGTTTTTATAAATACAATATTCTAAATAGTCTAAAATTTCTTAATGGTAAAAATGATCTTTAATCTAGATAATAGTTGAGTTAAATATGTCCACGAATGACAACTTGGACTCCCATCTAGTAACTGCAGCACAGAATCTGGAGACTAGACACTTTTGTGAAAAGGGATGGACTTAAGCATGTGCTTGAGTTTTTTGATAGGCCACTGCCAATACTATGAGGAAGCATTGTGTAGTGATTAAAGCACAGAACTAGAAGTCAAGATTTGCCATTGATCATCTGTGAAACCTTGTGCAAAATACCTTCTCTTTGCCTTCATATCTCCCTTTGTAAAATGAGGATAACAACACTACAGCACCTTGCACAATGGAGTCCAGGTCCATGACTAGGGCCCTTAGGCACTACTGCAATGCAAATAATAAATAGCACCTAACTCACTAGGGCATTGTGAAGTATTTTGAAGTCTGTGGATGGATGGTGCTAGAGAAAAGCAAACTAAAATGACTACTCTTAAACAGTACTAGTACTATCTTGTTTCATCAGGGACAGGTATGTGTGGTAATTATATCTTTATTTGTAATGTTAATGGTGACAAATCTACTTCACAGTCTGATCACTGGAGTGGTGGTAATTGTATTAAAAGTGATGTATAAATTGCCAATCCTGTACAAAACAAGGTTTTGAAAAGCAATCTGTTTTGTATTTTGACATTTTTAGATGGACCAGTTGCCATGGTTGGGTCAGCTGCTATGGGAGGAATACTTCTAGCTTTAATTGAAGGAGCTGGTATCCTATTAACAAGATTTGCCTCCACACAGTTTCCAAATGGTATGTGTTCTACACTTCAGATTACAGTACCTCAAAATGTTTATAATGCTTTCTCAGAATACAAACACTCAAGTACAACAGTTTATGGGAAATGAAATGGCCAGATTCCTTTTTCAAGTATTGAAAGACCAGATTCATTTTCTAGGATGTCTTTAGGATTCTGATTTTCTTCATTCTATATTTGTCTTTCCAATGTATAGTTGTTATGCAGATTTTATATATATATATATATATATATATATATAAAAAAAAAATAGGTACTGTAGGAGTGAAGGAGTGAATTTGTCTGTTTACACCCCTTCCTCCAACCTTATCACGTTTGTACCCTTCTCATCTTCCACATTAATTCACATATAGGCAGGTCAGCAGAACAGATTTCAGTACATAAGTAAACTTTGTCATAAATGTCCATGAGAATGGCTTTTGCCCTCCAGATAATAGTCTCTCTTCTATGATGCAATTGGTCAGGTATATTCAGGGACCTGATGAAAAAGAAATGCAGATGAATGTTATGGTTATGTTTCTACAACAAGGTTATAAAGTTTTGCAGTGTAGACAGAACCTTCCATCTGTGCCTGTGTAGTATTTAGTTAGGTTTGCCAATCTTCCTCCTTCTCAGTTCTCTGTGCAGTAGGACATCCTAGAGTGCACTGATCTCTGTATTGCTGGTTCCACTCTATGCATGTCCTCTGAGCATTCTGTCTTCTAGTGAGGCAGACTGGGGTACCTGGTTTTCTCTCCTCCCCCCCCCCCCCCCCCCGCCGAATGCACTGAGATAAACAGGCAAAAGTGTTGTTGTGAAAAAAGCTGATGTGTGGACATACCTCTGTTTGTTGTAACAAAGTCATGGGTACCTTTCACAGCCTGGATACAAAAACACTGTTGCACATGCAGTGTAGACTGGATCTAAGTAACAGGCCAACCTAAAAATAAAACAAAATTGCCCCAGCTTGTTGTTATGGGGGAGCACAGACAGTGTTGTATAGATAAATCCCTGAGAAAATCACAATTATTTTTTTTAAATCATGGCAGCATCATGGAGCAATGTTTGTATTTCATGGGGTATGCATGGCAGCCAAACGATTTTTCCAGTAGCAGGGAGGCAGAAGTGAGCATCCCTGCTTCCACCTCCCTGCTGAGGCTGCAGCTGCTCATGGGAGTTAGCAGACTGTTCCCATCCTGGTCCTGTCCTGGGGAGTGGGGAAAGGGGGCAGGGTGAGAGTGTCTCACTATATGCTGCTGTCCAGTCCAGCCTGAGGTAGGAGTTGGCATCCAGCTTGCCCTGCGCTCAACTCTGGACCAGGCCAACTCTGCTGCTTTCTGTTGGGTGGGGGGGGGGGAGAGCATCACTGGAAATGTGGCGATTAGGAGCCTCAGCCTGCCCCACAGCAATTGGGCCCGGGGGAGACACTGTAGCACCAGCTGGCAAGGAATGAGACTGGGAACCATCGCTGCACCCCAATTCTCCTGACTGCGGTTGGCCCTCTCACACACCTGCTTGTGTTCCAAGAGGCGCTGGCACTGGCTTCAGTTGGTGGATGGCTCCTGCACACAGTCTCCCCTGGGCCTGTTGGGGACCACTGTGGGGTGGGCCAGGCTGGAGCTCCTAATCACTGCATTATCAGTGCCACTCCCTCTGTCAGCTGCGGTGTCCTGGGCTGAATCTGAGCACAAAGCAAGCTGGGCCATGATCCCTGCCCTGGGCCGGGCTGAACCATCTGCACTATGCGGTGAGGCTTCTCCTCTTATTCCTTGGGATAGGACTGGCCCACCACCTCCCTGTCCTCCTCCAGGGTGGGGCAAGGCCTGCTAACCTGCAGTGAACAGCTGCAATCTCAGTGGGGAGGAGCTAATTTCACTATTTCTATGCAGTCTGTGAAGTCGTGACTTACACAGGCCTTTAGGTATATTACATTAAGTAAGACACTAATTCCTGCTGACCCAGTATTTCAGCTTCTGTTCAGTGGCATTCTTATTAGTGTCTCCAAATTATCATAGATTTTCCTCTCTGATCCAGAATTGTTTTGTAAATCATGTTTCAGAGTGGTAGCCGTGTTAGTCTGTATCAGCAAAAAGAAGGAGGAGTCCTTGTGGCACCTTAGAAACTAACAAATTTATTTGGGCATAAGCTTTTGTGGGCTAAAACCCATTTCATTGGATGCATGCAGTGGAAAATACAGTAGAAAGATATATATACACACAGAGAACATGGAAAAAATGGGTGTTGCCATACCAACTATAACAAGACTAATCAATTAAGGTGGGCTGTTATCAGCAGGAGAAAAAAACTTTTGTAGTGATAATCAGGATGGCCCATTTCCAACAGTTGACAAGAAGGTGAGAGTAACAGTAGGGGAAAAATTAGCATGGGGAAATAGTTTTTACTTTGTGTAATGACCCATCCATTCCCAGTCTTTATTCAAGCCTAATTTAATGGTGTCCAGTTTGCAAATTAATTCCAATTCTGCAGTTTCTTGTAAATCATGTGAGAGTTATTAGTGAAGGAGTATTATCTGTTTACCTGTCTTACGCTGCATGTGTCTAAATAATAAAAACATGTGCATGTAGTGGTCAGAGCCAAGCCCTAGAAGTCAGGGGTCCATAGTAGTATTCATTCAGCTACACTGGCTAACTGATATTGGGCAAAGTGCCTAAATCCCATTGGAAGTCATTGGGATTTAGGCTCCTAAATTATGCAGGTAATTCTGAAAATCTTTCCTTTCATCTCTCCGTACCACATGTCTCCCGTCTGTAAATGGGGATGAAAATACATAACTGGCCTTGCACGAGTGAGGCTTTATTTTAGTGGGTAAAGCTCTTTGATTTCATTGAATGAAAGAGACTGTGTACGTGGAAAGCCTTCTTTATTCTTGGTCCTGCTAATCCAGAAAGGATTTATGCAAACAGACAATACTTTGAAAGTGTATCATAATATTTTGTCATAAATCACTGTCCTATTAATCTTCCTTTTTCTTTAATTAATTATTTTCTTCCCTTTAACAGGCCCTCAATTTTCAGATGATCCCTCCCAGTTGCAGCCCTCCCCATTTGGAGATTATAGGCAATATCAATGATTACATTGTTCTACTGTTTCATATTGTACATGTGAGCTGTCATTTATAAAATGCTGGAAAACCAAGATACAGAAAATTGGAAGTGTATGGTAGACCTCTTTGTGCAAACTATGGCAAGAGGACACTTAGCACTTTTTCATTGTAAAGATGCACAAGAGAACTTTTAGAATATCATAAATATATTTATTCATCATAGGATTCCATTGTTGTAAAGTTGATATGTCTGACATAACACGTTAATGCTTAAGATGAGGACCAAACAGAATGCTGTACTACTTTGGATATGGAATGAAATGAATTTCTCTGAAGTGTGGTATTAACAGGGGTGCGATTTAGTCACGGAATCCATGACTTCATCCAGCGCTGGCCGGGAGCTGCAGGGTTCCCTGCCGCCTGTGGAGGCAGGGAGATGCAGGAGCCCCCTGCTGCTCCCGGCCACCACCGGTGGCGCGGGGGATCCCCGCAGCTCCCGGCCACGGCGGGTGGCGCAGGGGATCCCCGCAGCTCCCTGCTGCTGCAGTGGCAGGGGGAACCTCTGGAGCTTCCGGCCGCTGTGGGCAACTGGGGGAAACCCCGGCGGCTTGGAGCCGCCAGTGGAAGGGGACCCTGGAGCTCCCAGCCCACCTGCAGATGCCTAGGCTCCCAGTGTTGTCACGGATATTTTTAGTAAAAGTCAGGGACAGGTCATGGGCTTCTGTGTTTTTTTTAATTATTATTGCCCATGACCTGTCCCTGACTTTTACTAAAAATATCCGTGACAAAATCTTAGCCTTAGGTATTAACTATTATTTAACCATTAACAATAGAACTTATCCTCTCTCTTCACAATCAGTATCACAGTTAGGTCATAATACTGAGCATTTCAGTTTATTTTAAGAAAATTCATTCATCTACATGAGTTCCAATCAGCACTCCTGAGGTGAATTTTGGGGAGGATATTGTGTGTTGAGCCAATGAAGAGTAATACATTTTTGTAACTCTTTGTGCCGCATAAAGTATTTCTCTCCACACAAATTAAATCCCAATTATAAGTAAAATATCTTGCTTATAAAAGGTGCCTGTTCCAGAATTTTCTTTCCTACAGGGCTACTGTGCCTTGATTCCTGACCTTACTCTTAGTGTTACTGGTGTTTAATGCTCAAAATACTTCAGAAGGAAAGTTCTGTATTGATGAAAGTGTGCCGTTTGCATTAATAAAAAGTTACTGATTTCCTCAGGTGCAGTTGGATAGAAAATATTTTTCTTGTTTTTGAACATGGGCCGGACTTCAGTGATTTGCATGCTTTTATAATGCATAAAAATGTTTGCCTTACTCCACTGCTCAAAGATGTGATGGTAGTGTTACAGTATGAGGCCTCAAGGACTTCATTATTTTTACAAAACTGTTTTACCATACTAGTATATGAAATAGCATAATAAATAATTAAAATGACACTACATCTCTGTGTTGGGGGGGATGAGAGACTCGATTTTGTGATGCAGTATCCTTGGGTTTTGGAACTTTAGTTACTAATGTTTGAAATGTAGTAGCTTGCACACGGGGTCTCTTTCTGTCATTAATGGGAATTAGTAAGGTTCGGCTGTAGCTTATAGCTCATTTGAGCAAGAAAATGTAAATACATAGTGTCTATAATGCATATTTTTAAATCTTTCTTGTCTGTGAGCCTGAGCCTTGAAATGGGTCATTTAAAAGGATTGGAACAAATGCTGTACTCAAATAAGCACAGTGTGTTTAGTCAGCCATATCTTCGTGGATTGGTACTAGTAAGTGATCATGCTTGCTTAAATAGAAAAAAGAATGTCAGATCATTACAATGTATCTAAAGATGCTCATGTACAAAATGGGAAAAAATAGTTTATAATAAATATTATTAGTGCAAATACCAAGTATGTGGCGTGTAAGGTATATTCTGAATTTTAAAATCTCCTTCCTCTTTTTAACTGAGTTTTGTGATGATCAGTTGTGCAAAACACATTTATTTTTGATAAAGCAAGACAGAAACTAAAGGTGGACTGAGAACTCATTCCCAAAGTACTGAAGTTTTTTGCTGACTGAGGCCATAGAAAAGATGGTTAACACCTCATGTACCTGCTCCTCAGTGCCTCCTGACTATAGGTGGTGGAGTATACCACCATCCTTTCTGAAGCAGCATGGCTTCATTCCCATTGGGAACAATGATAGATAATGGCCATCTTTGCAAAGGGCAGCTTGTGACCTTAGTCCCATTGTTAGAGGGCAGTTCTTTGGGAGTTCTCTGAAGATTTTATGTACCCACCTCTGCTGAAGGAGAAACTCCCAGCTATGAAGAATAGGATGAAAGGTTATTTTTGGTCAAACACTTCATAAATAAACCCAACCAAACTGAAAATCCATGAGACTAGAGCTACTCAACAGGGAGAGGAGGAAAGTGGAGTGAGCTATGCTGTGTGAGTGAGACAAAACTGCCAGCTGACTCGGGCTCTAAAAGCTAACATTTTATAAAATTGACTTCAGGTTGATGTTTCTAATCTGAAATTATATCAAATGGTCGAAATCTCTTTGGGTCTCTTCGTTACTGTTCCATATATGAACAATTTAGTAATTAAAAAAGAAACTCAATCCTAAACTGTTGAGTGGAGTTAAGGCAGAGTATATATCAATGTTTTAAAAAAGCCTTACAGGAATTCATGATTTTTAAGGCTAGAAGGTACCGCGGTGATCTTTTAGTCTGGCCTGCTGCATACAAAGGCCACAGAATTTCACCCCATTATCTCTGCATCAGGCCCATAATTTCTGGTTGAGTTAGTGTATCATTTAGAAAGACATTCAATCTTGATTTAAAATCGAGAAGGGTAACTTTAAGACAGTAGTTGACCACTACAACCCATTTGAGAAGCCATAGTGTGTGATGTGGGAGAAATGAGTCATCCTCCTGGAGGAGTGTGATGTGGGGATTGGAGAGTGAGCACCTGTTCCATATCATGTGAGGCTGTGGCATCTGCTCACAGGTGGGGCCCTCCCCCCACCATGCCTGCTCCAAACTGGGCTGTGGTGGGCCAAATAAAATGAGCTGCTGGTAGTTGCCCATTCCTGATGAAAGACTTCATGTGATGGAAAATCCAGTACATCTTTTGATAATTTGTTGCAATGTTTAACTAGCCTCACTGTTAAAAATTTGCTCCTTATTTCCAGCATGAATTTATTGACCTTCAGCTCAGGTCCCAGCGCAATGAGGGTGCAGCAAGTCATGCTTCACTGCAAGCCAGCCTCCCAAGTAATTACCCAGGGCTGCAGGCAGGCTCTGTTCCAGGACCTGAGCTAGCTAGTTTGGGTCTGTCTGGTCACCTTGTGATTGCAGTGTAGACATAGCCTTAGCCACATCAAAGGAGCTCATGGTCAGTTTATTGTTCACGGTGACCTGTAAGTCCTTTTAAGAATCACTTAAAGCCCCCCGCCCATCCACTATGTGTCTCCTATATTCCTTGTTCCTAAATGTATGATCTTGCATTTGGTGGTATTAAAACATCTTTTCTAGAAAAATCCAGTGTAAGTGATTCAGATTGCTCTGTAGAACTGACCTGTATCATTATTTACCCCTCCACCAATTTGTGACACCAGCAATCATATACCAGCAATAATTTTATATTTTGTTCCAGACCATTGATAAAGATATGGAATAATGTTGGACCAATGATTGATCACTGTGGGACCCTATTAAAAGCCTCACCCAATGATTGATTCTCTACCAACATTTACTTTTTTTTTTTTTTTTTAGATTTTGATCTGTTTAATGTGCACTAAATTAATATGAATAGTCTGATTTTTAACTGGAATGTCATGCAGTCACATGCCTTACAGAAGACTGCATACATTGTATCACAGTTACATTTATCTACCAAATTTGTAATCTCATGGAAAAACATCAGGGTTGTTTGACAAGTCCCATTTTGCATAAAACTATGGTGCTTGGCATCAATTATGCTGCCATCCTTTACCTCTTTCCTGAAGGCATCTTCTATGATACTTTCCATGATTTCATTCAGGATGGATGTCTGGCTCACCAGCCTGTAGGTATCTAGATTGTCCCATTTACCATTTTAAAATATTGGCATAAGATTGGGAAATTTCCAGAGGACTGAAACAATAACCAGTGTTCTAAGATTTATTAAAAATCAACATTGGTGGTTCAGAGAATTTATTGGCCAGTCTTTTCAAACTCTTGCGTGCAAGTTATCCAATCTTGCATATTTAAATATGTTTGGGATGTGTAATTATCCCAGAAACAAAAATTATAAAGTTAAATTTAAGAATCTAAATATGTTAAGGTAGGAAACTGCCCAGCTGAGACATCCATTCTCAATTCTGCCCTGTGGTTGGTTGTGTGTGTGGTGTATACACGCACCCTGGCTCTAACTTATGTCTATGAGCAACCACAATGGATCAAGCCCAAAACAGCAAGGAGGAAGTACTGTCAAATAGTTCTTCAGCAGCAGCCCCCTGTCTATGAACAGTTACAAGCCCTCCAGCAGCAGCTCCTGGAGTGTGTCACACAGCTGAAAGTCTTTGGGGGGCCAGTCTGAGACACCTTGGTGTTGGCTTTCAAGAGGATGATCCCACAGGGGAGAAGGGAAGCTCCTTATTGCCATAACTAAAGGCTGGGGGGTCTTGCATTGATACCCAAAAAACTGCAGCCAAATCTGAAGGTTTGTGAAGCAGGGATGGTGGGTGTTCCTGGTAATTTGGGGGTGGCTTCCACTTTTGATGGTAAAACAAACTTTTTGAAGGGGACTGCATCTCCCAGCACTATGAATGACTGCTTCTGGGCTCAACACAGCCTAAGAGCCGGGGTCATGAGAGAAGAAATGGTATTGTTGAGACATGCACAGACCAGTAGTGCTTCACCCCCAAAGAATCTTCTGGACTCTGCACAGGCTGAGGCAATGCTAGGAGAAGGGTGTGGCAGTGGTCTCCTCTCCCCCCTAATGAGTTGCTCTTGGAGCACCCGGTGGGCAGAGCATGTCGGCGATCTGCTGATGAAGGGACAAAGGTCAGGAACACAGTAACCTGCTGATCTGTCTCCAACACACCATGCATTCTTAGATATTTGCTTATCCCAGTTGAGTACATCAATTGCTCTGGACGCCCCCTCTCCATGCCCAACCCATCTCATCCTGCTGAAGTAAACACCCAGAGTGATCCCATTTTTGCCAGCAGGACTCAGCTGCCCCACTGTTCGCACTAACATGAAGGCCCTGTGGATGGACAGACAGGGGCAGCCCTGATGCTGAGCAGAGGCGAGGCCATGCTCTGGGGACATATATATGGCACAGCCTTTGCTGCAGAAAATGGAGGTGCCAATACACCCCTGCCACATGCCCAGTGGGAAGCCAGCAGGTCACACCCACTTGGGCATCACTCTACCAGGACTGGAGATTAGCAGTAGATGCACAGGTAAGAAAGAGCACTAGCTTTAAGTGGGGAGAT